TTTCTCTTTTTTCTTTTTTTTTCTCTTTTTTTCTTTTTCTTCTTTTTTTTTCTCTTTTTTCTTTTTTTTTCTCTTTTTTTTCTAAATAACGCACACACTCAACATAGCCCCGCACTAGGGAAACCCTGTGTCGCGGGTGCCATGGACACACACATAGACAACCACAAATTACACCCAAACTCACGAGAGAAATAATTGTAGGCCATACAACTATTTCTCCCGGCCCGGGAATCGAACCTGGGACCTCTGCGTGGCAGTCCGGCATGGTAACCGTTAGGCCACAGAGGCAGTTGAAATTTATAAAATTTCAACGTTGAAAAGTTGAAAGTTATAAATTTAGTAATTAAATTTTTTTTAAAAATTAAAACAGCATCCAAATATAAAATAATTATGTACTTAATATCATTCAAAGCGCGGATAGCCTCAATTGAAATAACGAATAGAACAAAGGTGCTTGTGTATTAATCGCACAAATGTTTAATAAATTATTGTTTATTTGTGGTCGTGAAAACACGTGTCCATGACACGTGTTCTCTCCTCAACTTCAGCTATTTTCAGATAATTGTTTTCTATTACATATTACTTATTATGCTACAAATATAGATACATTAGTATCTAATATTAGAACAGTTAGAGGAAAAGATTGTTATCACGCGACGTGGCAGCCGAATGGGACAACGGTTGATTTTCAATTGTGAGAGTGTGTGTCACTTTAATTTCTAAAAGGAAAACATCGTTTCACTACAGTAAGTATTTTCGCTATGTAATTAGGGGCAATAGATTCTGGATTCTTCAACTAATAATGCACGGGAAATCCAAGGAAAACGTAGTCGGGAAAACCTCCTAGTTATAGAATCTGAAATACTGGTTCAATCTTAGCACACGTTTCCTCTTTCGTGCGGCAGCTTCAAAATTGAGGATAGCCATCATGATCGCCAGCCTTCGTAGAGAAGCGGCACGAGAAGAACAATCATTTCACAGGAACACAACCCTTGGAAAACTTGTCAATCGCATTGGGTCAGCGTGGTGCATTATGACTAAACTCGTTTAGCAGTAGGACGTACAATGAGTTAATGATGACTTTTTTTATTTATGTTACCAGGTGATGAGACGTTCATAACAGTTGCAGTGCCACTCAGAGCTTTAAATCATAAAGATCTTAGGGGCACTGCCACTGCGCCCGTCACCCTGAGACGTAAGTTGACAAGTCCCACGTGCCTGTAATTTCACCAGTACACTTACCCTTTCAAACCGCAACGCAGTAACACTCACATTGTTACTAGGCTTTAGAAATATGTAATAAAATATACATAATCGTGGCAGAAGGAAAACCTTCCGGTTAAAGGATCTGAAAGACTGGTTCAGTTTTAGCACACGTTCTTTTCTTTCGTTCAACAATGTTCATGATGGTTGCCACCCTTCGTAGAAGCGACACAGGTAAAGAAGTAGAATCGTTTCACAGGAAGATTCACAACGCATCAAAAACGCGTGAAGTTATCCGCATTCGTCTAGCTTTGTGGATTATGGCCTAAAACCTCTCCTCAGAATACCTGTGTCCAGCTGAAGAACGTATTCGTGAACGGTCCCGTTTTACCTCTCGGCGACTGAGAAAATTCTAACGGCATTTTAAACATAATTTTCTTTGGTATTAATAACTTATTCATTCGGTTCACGCTGTAAATGGACACACAATTTCTTGTACTGGAAATTACTTTGGTATTTTTCTTGAATAAGTTACGCCCTTAAAATAATGCAGTAAAAGCTTTTTCATAAAAAATCGAAGTAAGATTTTTTTTCAGAGTAAGTACGCAAGGGGATCGCCATTCTTAACACCGAATCGGGTTGAGCCGGTCAAAAAAATACCGGATGTCCATGCAATAAGAGCAAAGAAGAGGAACGAGCACCGAAACGCTTTTTTTTTATAAATATAATTTTTTTTACCCGACTTCAAAAAAGGAGGTAAACAAGTCGACTGCATTCTTTTTGTATGTATGTTACGCGATAATTCCGGTTTTTTTAACCGGTTTTGATGATACTTTTTTTTGTTACAAAGAGGGTACCTCAGTATTGGTCCCATATAAATTTAAAGGAAATATTCCACCCCTAAGGCTGGTAAACTAGCGGATGAATCCGGTTTTGCGCACTTTTCGGTACGCGACTCCAATAAAACTTAGCAAATAGATGTAATTCTGTGATCTTTTGAGGTCAGTTTTTTTTATAAAAAGTTATTTAGTGACGGGATGAACAATACGTGCCCCTGTTGGTAAGCGACACGCCTGGACATAACAGTTGCAGTGCCACTCTGAGTTTTAAATCGCAAAGATCGGAAAGGCATTGCCACTGCGCCCGTCACCCTGAGACATAAGTTGACTAGTACCATGTGTTTGTGTTCAATTTTTCCAGCAGGTTATTACATAGGCACAATGGTTTTTCCGACCAACACATAACAACAAGTAACATGGTGACTCGGGGAAGAGTTCGCTCTAAAAACCTTTTCATTATTTCAAAGTAATTATTGAAATTTTCTCGCGGCAATTATTCACAAAAACAGAGAAAAAAGAAAAAGCTAATAATGCAAATATCTCATCTGCAGTCTAAACTATTCGTTGTAAATGCAAAGCACGAAACGGTTTATTACACAACGGAATAAACAGTAAGAAACGGCACGTTGCTGAACGTTGTAGAGCAGTTAAAGCTCTTTTGTAATTTCAACGCATTTGCCACCGGTGGCAAATGTAATATCCTTAACAGTTTTGACTTGGTTAATAGAGACATGTATACAGAGACGTTGACATAGGTATGACGTAGGATATTAATACGCTGACATACGTATAACATATGTTAATTAAAAAAAATACAATAGACAGTAAAATATATTTCTTTTTATAGGACCAAGTGACGGGACGAACAATTCGTGTGCCTGGTGGTTAGCGACACGCCTATCCGTAACAGTTACAATGCCACTTATCGTATTATGACCATGGCCAAAAATGCAGTAAGGAAGCTTGGCGTCCTTTCCAGGGTGAGGCGTTACTTTGCACCGGGACAGTTGCTTCAGCTCTACATGCACAAGTCCGGCCGTGTATGGAGTACTGCTGCCTCCTTAGGGACGGCTCTGCTACATACCAAACTGGCCACCTTGTATCAATCGACAAGCATGCCAGGAGGTTTATAGGTGACTCGGAATTAGTAGAGACGAAGCTTGAACACCGCCGTAAAGTTATCCGCTTATTGGTATGTTATAGGATATATCACGGAGAGTGTGTGATGGAATTACACGGTTTAGTTGGGCTTTCCCCTTTCCATCACCGGGGACTAGACGTAGGCTTGGGTTCCACCCCTATGTTGTGGATATTCCAAAGATTCGCACGAAACGTTGCGCTTCCACATTTCTATGGCGAACGGTTAGGTGAGGAAATCGCGGCCTGCAGACGTGTTCCTTGGACGTTGCAATTTGGACCTTTTCCAGACGAGAGTGAATAGGAATTTTTTAGACGTGCATGCTTCATCGTCGACCTCATCGTCACTTTCTATGAGAATGAGTGAGTGAGTGAGATGGTGGTCAAATGCGCACTTATACGTATAAAAAAATATTTGGAAAGACCTGCTACTCTACTCCCGTCACCATGAGACATAAGTTAACAAGTCCCATGCGTGTTTTTTCACCTTAACCCTTCAAAAGCGGAACGCAGTAATGATCACATTACTGCTTGGCGGCAGAAATAAGTAAGGTGGCAGTATTTACGTAGACGAACTCTTTCACAAGGAGCTCTACACTATATATCAAATAAGAGCTGCATTATAAAAGAACTGATAATCATCATCATTGGGTACGGGTCTCGTTTATTTAGAGGCATTGGGATTTCACACATTTTACGAGGATTCCGTAACTTGCAAATTTCCTACACTGTTTATGTGTGTACCGCCATAGAGAGTCGAACATTCGACCATCCAATTGAAAAGCAGCCAATATCCCACTGCACTACAACCACTCTCTCATAGATACATGCAGGCATCTTATGAAACAGAAAATCCATTTTTCCGAGCCTTGGAGGCCGCTCGCGCTCGTTGCCGTCCGCTCTCGTTTTCGTCATCTACTTTTAATTTTGATTGTCACGTCAATCTTGCTCAGGCTTGTCTTTACTTTGTAAAAGCAAAGGGCTGCTAAATTTCTTTACGCGAACGGTTTCTGAGAGATTTAAATGTTATTTTAATCTACTTTTAACACCGTATACCGCGCCAATTTCAATACTTTGGTACTGCATTGCTTTCTGTATGACTTAAACTGTATTCCAAATGAATATTTGTATATTGGTACTATTGTACTGAAAAAGTATTCAGTAACCTTTTGCTCACTGTGTAAATAGATTTAAGTAATCAGCACGTATAATGTAATATAAAGTTTCCTTCCTCGAAATTTTGTAACAAAAAATTCACGCCGCGAACTGATGACGACTCCTATATGTGAATTGTACATTGGATTGATTTAATTCCCACGTCGCGTATTATTATGTAAAACAATGTAAATGCATGAAGGGGTGTAAGGTGTGTGGGATCGTGTAATTGTACACAATTAACGTGTAGGTAGGAGGACAAACTGAGCTACATAAGATAAGGGGTGCAATCATTTTTATAGATCTTTTTAAAGCGGGCGAAACTGCGATGCATGAACGTATTTCGCGACAAGAGCCCTCGAAGGCCTTTGTGAAACTCTCTATTTTTGGAATATACCGCATATTTCTCTGAACTGGAATTCACTGAAGATGTGGATATCGTAAATTCTTCCTGTCTTCGTCTAATTTAAGTTCCGCGCTAAAATGAAGTTTGCTTTTCGAAAGCTCAAGAACTAATGAAGTTTCGAAAGTTCAAGATGAAGTACGAAAATAATTTCATACTTCGTTCCATATCTCCACTGAACTTTTGCAAAACGACTTTCTTAGTAATAAAATTGGAATTTTGATTTCACAGAAACGAGATTCTCAAATGGAACTCATCGCTGCATCGCCCGAGTTAGATTTAAAATGGGCAATATGAAAGACAGTGGCACATATGAGTCAAATGTAGGTCACGGCGAGGTCGGAGTGGGTCTCACTTGTTGTACAGCACGATGTCAGGCCGCCAGATGTGGTCGGAAGGCACGTGCAGCATGTGCACTCCACCATACTCGCGGGGCTCCCACCGCAACTTGTAGTCGTACCACGACTGCTCCACCCACAGGTTGGTCGTCATTATCTGGTTCTTTAAGTTCTGTAACAAAATCAAACATTTCTGAGTACGTGATATTTTCTTTTAGAGTCGATACTTAATTTTTCAATCAAAATTGGTCAATTCTTTTAGCGTTTGCGTAATACCAAATAACAAATTACTGACCCAGAAAATAAAAAGTTCATCTTAACGTAGCTACGGCGACTTTATAAGACCTCCCGTTATGGGAAATTTGCATTTAATTTCCAATAATAAGGGCTACAAAATCGAGGGGAATCCAATATTCCAATTTAGTTATATTAGTCGGTCGTTGCGTTAAAGAAATTAGGTAATTAATTACGGCGAATGGACAAGGTCTCTCAAATATTTAGAGCACTGCCGCCCGCCGCAGCTCTGTTACTAATGTCTTCTCGGATTATTAATTTCGACTAACTGAATGCCTAAAATAGACATCAATTATTCAATTACGGATACAATTATGACAAACGTCTCCGAGCGAGACGCGCCCGGCGACCGAACATTCAAGTTGTAAATAATGTCAATTTTGCTCAGTCATTGTTCGCAATGTGTGGCCGAATCGCGCGTATATAAGCCTGGAAACTTGTCAGCCATGACGCGGGCGCCGTGAACTTATTTAATTTAACATTTGCTTCCGTTACAAACATCGTGTCAGCAATGCCCAAATACCTTTATTCGGGTTTTACTTAGCGCGTAATAAATATTACGCGCTTGTAAAATTTATACATTCACCGCATCTTCACTTTGTTTACATTAAATCATGCCTTTGCCGTTGGTTCTCGATGTAAATTGAGTATGAAACGTTATTGAAAATAAAAATACGGTAGAGTTATGGTCCCTCGAGAGGAGAAGTGTAAATAAGGGAAATCCGTCATAACATCGTGACAAGAGGGCCGGTCGATGGGTTCGCTTTTGTTTGCTCTGCCCGCCTCAATGTAGGCCATTTACAAAAAGTTTGCCAGCTTGTATTACGTCTCAGTTCGATCTGCGTGTGACGAGATACGTCGTGGGGGTGTGAAAAATATGTCGCCCGTGACAATCTTACGTCTTTGTTATTTATGATCTGCAATTTTAACTTCGCCAATCTTCGCCCGACTGTTCCAATATGTCGGGAGAGAAACTTTGTATAAACTGCAGCATATATGATTTATTTTGAAATATGGTTCCTAAAGAGTCTCTTTATTCACAAAAAATATGAAGAACATTGTTATAATCTTAAAAGCGTTGTTGTAATGAGTTGTCATGTATCGTGACTTATATAGCTTTATGAGAATATTTTATACGTTAAATGTAAAGAAATGAATTAGTAATTTACGTTTCACGCGGGCAGTTGCAACGGAAGCCGCCATTGTTCTTTTAAAATGTATTGTACAGCTTTTCGTTAAATTATGTTTTTACTGAGACGGTGACTTATATGTACGGTGTATTGTCCGTATACGGTGACGGTGTATCTCATGAAACAAATAGTGTAGTGCAGCTAGTAGGTGTATTTATTTATTTATTTATTTAATCAATATTGCGAGTGGGCTCACAGAGCGTATCCAAAACACCCACAAGCTTAGGCAACATTACAAATTATTGATAAAGAATTGCGATACAATTAAAATAAAATAAAATAAAATTATAGATACAATTTAGCTTACAAATGTCAAAACCTTAACCTACTTAGTATCTAATTTCCTACACGTAAAAAGTCATTATTTAAAAATATGTTCGCGTTCCTAAGAATTTGTCCAAAGGAATCAGCAAATAAGTCCATGTCATAGTGGTCAGCGAGCATATCTCCGATGAGCGTGAGTGCCCGCGCGGAGGGCGCATGCGCAGCGCGAACGGTGCGCACTGCCGGCCGCTGCAGCAAGCGCAGCCGCCTACGCGGCGTCACTATCCCAGCCCCATCCCAAGTAATGCGAGAGGGCACCTGAATGTTAAATTTCTCGAGAATATTTGGACTATCGTTAGGTGTAAGATCTATATAAAATATTACGATACGAGTTGAGGCCTTGAACCATTTTCAGAATTATGTGAACGGTCTTCAACATATAGGTGTCTTTTTGGCGTCAAAGCGAATAAAATTACAAAAAAAAACTTCTAATTAGAAAAGCTTCTTTCAATGACGCAGGCTTTTGGTGGGGAACAAATTCGTGACCTGGTTTTCCTATAATTTATCCAATTATTTGTCTTTGTTGCTTGTGAGTCCTCAGTATTTCAACGTTCTAAAAACCTTGCCGAGGTTGGTGTGTTGTTGTGTGTTGTTGATTGTCGTACCAAGGCACTAGCTCTCTTACTAGACCACTGTCCAGCAGTAGGTGGGTAATACAGATGAGCGCACGTTTTTGCGATAAAATCCTCGGCGACGACGATAATTTTTCAACCGGCGACGGTTGGCGGCGGCGGCGTGACCGGCGTGAAATCGCCGTGACATATATTTTAAACGATGTTAAAAAAAACATACTTTAAATCAAACTTTGCATTAATCTTTATTGTTACTAAACATAATCAACTTAAAGAATATAATTAGTAATTTATTTTAGTTATAAATAGAGTAAATAACACAGAAGCTTATATTTGCAATATTTGTTTTTATTGAATATCATGATGTCTTACTACTATGATATTCATAAATATTTTTGTGAAAATATTCCACTAGTTTAAAACAGTGATTAGAACCAAAAAGAAAGATCTGCAAGAAGCACATAGAGAAATTCATAATGTGTTGCCGCTCCTGACTCATTCCGTAGCTCTGTTGGAAGAGCGATACCCCGGTATGGCGAGGTCTCTGGTTTGAGTCCAGCCAGTATCAATAATAACAACAAGCTTCATTAAAATAAAAGAAAATCCTACGCTGATTTAAACCGGTCTAATAGTAATGGAGAAATCCTTCAACCAGATTTAAATTGGTTTGTTCCGCTGGATGTCTAAAACAACCTTTTTATATGCTCTGAGTTGCCAATTACAAAAAATTATTCTACTATATACAAATAATTTATACGACGTGTTACCATATTACAAATAACAGTTATTATTAAAAACAAACGAACATCAAAACTAAAAAAACCTTACATGGCTATCAACGGCAAAAAGATGGCGTAATAATATGATAATAGGTAATTAAGCTTACAGTCGGTACATTATTTTTTCGAAGAATATTCCACCTCTAAGGGTGGCAAACTAGGGGATGAATCCGGTTTCGCGCACTTTCCGGTAACCAATTTCAATAAAACTTGGCAAGTATATGTAATTCCACAAACTTTTGAGGTATTTTTTTTAAATAAAATAGTTACAGTTATTACCCTTCAATTTCGATTTTCGAAATTTGCCGGTGTGACGCGAAGAGTGTCTTGTAGGGACTTGTTTGTGAGACACAGGATAATAACCATGTATTCGTTGTGTTTATTCGGAATAATCACATTCATACGGATAAACTTACACAGCTTCGAAAAGTATGTAAGCGGCTACAACATTCGCTCCACAGGACGATTGAGGTCGAGCCGCGACGGTTAGCAGTCACTGAAAAAATCAGCGCGCAATCGGCCCGACTTATTGTGAGCACCTACCCGTTGACTTACAAAACGAGCCTAATGATGAAACATTTGATCGTCGACTGAAAGACTTTTTGTTAGTTAATGCGTATTATTCCATTGAATAATGACATGATTTTATAATATAATTAGATTATTCATAATAAATATTATTTTTCATAGCACTTGCTCGTAAACAGCATGATTGTGTGGTGGCTAATTTAAGTATAATACCCCAAATAATACCCTCGGGCCTTTTTTCTTCCCATCACAGGCATGGTCGGTAAGGAGTTTTTTTTTAATTTAATAAATATTAGCACGACATACTTCTTTACATAGGTCAAGTTCAAGCAAGGACTTACTTAAGTTCCAAATTAAATATCTAAATAGAAATTTAATTGAAATACAGCCATATACTACTTAAATACTTATAATTAAGATTTTCACATAATTGATTTTCATTTTGTTGTGTATAAAAATTTTACAATTTTTTTACACCCAGTCTTTGCTTTTCACAACATTTTAGTTCGAGTTGGAAAAATGGAGCTGACAATCTCTTAATAAAAAAAAGACAAAAAACCGCCAAAATTCATAATAATTGTTCTATTGTGAGCCATATTTATTCATACAAGAAATAAATTCCTCGCAAATGTGATCAAAAACATTATATGTATCACTCGAGTTATAAAGCCTAGATCCTAGTTGGTGCTTTCTCATTTATTTATTTACCGTCCTTAATAAACAATGTACAGACATGCATAATTACATAAACAACGCATGCAATCATTATTTTGACATTATTACGTTATTTAATATTTTCCTACAGTATTTCACATAATCATAATAACTATGTTATAATTACGATTAAAATGTATCATGTTACTAAACTTGTACTGAATATTTGTAATTTTTATTGTAACATTTATTACTATTGTGACGATTCTTGTAATACAATATATTATATTTATTAATGAAAGTTTGCAAGGTAATAAATAAATTTAAATCTAAATCGAAAAGCGATTTGGTTGTGTCTGTACGCAGTAAAAATAATAATCATTTACACAATGTAATAGAGTAAAATAACATAGAATAATATCGATTGTACTTGCATGTTCTGCGGGTCAGTTATGAGGCAGTGTACAGTGGCGAATGGTAGTTATCATCCCGTTGCATCGGAGAGTTTAAACTCCACTGCTTAACTAACGTTTAATGCTGTAACTTAATTTTGGCCACTGCAATAAACGTTTCATGTGTTTTGTTGGGTGTTATGGGCTATTAACCAAATGTTAAAGTTTTAATTTTTTTTTATAATTTTCTTATGTTTTCGCCATTGATACACATTGAAAATGAAACTATTTCAAGTCAGACGTGACCATGGTACTTATAAAGAGACTAAAACTTTGATTTAAGTGATAAAAAAATAGTTACCGGTCTTTCACATCTTATTATGATTTAGAGATGAAATAACTTTTCCATAAAAAAGCGATTTGACAAGTTTATGGAATT